GAGAGAGAGAGAGAGAGAGAGAGGAAAAAGAAAAAGAGAAAGCAATATTTTCTTTTATTTATCTTGTGAATCTGCGAATGCAATACTGTATGCAGTATGTAAGTAAAATCAAATAAATTGATTGAAATATCGATAAATGGATTGCACTGTTGGACAGTTGCAATTACGAAAATTATTCTTCGCGTGTCTATCGCAGAATATTGCATTTTTTAAATTTAGTTTAAAATTGAAAGAGGAAAATTTGAAATGATAAATCTGCGGGGATTTATATGTTTTTAAATATATAAAATAAATATGCGCGCGAAAGTGCTGCCTCATATCAAATAATGGAGACATTCGCGAACATCAGCAATAAGGTTATTAAACGCTGCACGAAGAGAAAGAGAAAAACTTATAGTCATGACTCATAGCTTTTTACTATCATCCAGTACAATCCCGGCTAGACTGCGTGGCTAATCTAAGTTAAGTAGTTATTACTATTAAATGCAAAGGAAACGAAACCGCCAATTTTATCAACACGACGTATCATAATGATATGTCATGACATTTACATCGTTAAAATATATTTATATATTTGTGAGAGATCTTGTTATACACATAATTTATATCGGTATTCATCAATTAAACATATTTACATAGGCCCTGTTCCGATATATACTGCCAGTACTGAAAATCTATATTATACGTAACGCGAACTATAGATTTTGAGTATTGACAGTATATATCGAAACACAGCCATAATTATCTAATAAAAATTATATAAATGTTAGATGGTATTTGACTATTTCATCAGTTATATTATAATGGCGTGATACCTAATTAATGTATTGTATTTATAATATATTAGTTTCTTCTTTCTAAATAATAAAATAATTAATAATTATAATTTTGTAGACTTATTTAAAAAGATATATACATATATATACATATATAATTTTCACAATCATGACAGTTACTTATCGTTTCTCTCTTACTTTCCTTCTCGCTCTTTGTAATAATTCATTAGAAAAACAACTATGATAGATGATTGAATTACTGAATCAAAGAACTTGCAGAAAAATTACCATTTATAATAGACCTATCATTATTGTGTCAGACATGAGATCAGACAACAACAATATATATGACAATTATTAAAAAGGAGGCGTGTTGAGTTTGGCGTTCATGTTCATGGTTCATCGACTGACCTTTCGCATTGGGAGAGAGAGGCCCATTTCTCCGAACCATTTAATTAACTCTTCACTACGCAATCTTACAGAACATTCTACGATCATCAAATTTCATATACGACTGCTGCATCTCGGTTTCAGTAAGCGATTTTTAAATCCGATGGTTTACGGTCGACATAATATGTATTGCTTAAAATAAAATTTAATGTAACTAGTACATAACAGGCGCGCGCTTCGCGCGCGCTGCGTATTGAATCTCATACATCTTCCAATAACATTTATACCAATTTACATTTTAATTAAACAAATTTTAACAATTTTCAATAAAATGACGTTTTAATCGGCCATTTTTTAAATAAAATCACGATTTTTTAGAAAATAGCCACATAATTCATCTTTAAGATAAGCCCATCAGAAAGAAGTCGATATTTTTATTTTTCTGAAAGATATGAATTTTTAAACATTGGGGAAAAGAAGATTCAATAACATGGCATTTAATTTTTAAAATAATAATTTTTTTTTAATTTTTTGTATCTGATTTTTAAAACAAATTTTTTTTATATTTTTCTTTGATTTGATTTTTTAAATAAAAATTTTTTTTGACCCACCATCACCCATTACCACCACCCAAAACCACCACCCACCACCACCATCCACCACCACCACCCACTATCACCACCCACCGCAACTACCCACCACAACCATTTTTTATATCATGTGATTTTCAAAGTAAAAAATTTTTTTTTAATTTATTGTATCATGTGATTAAAAAAAAAAATTTTTTTTTTACCAACCATCACACCACCATCACCCATCACCACAACCCACCACCACCACCCACCACCACCATTTTTTACACATATGCGTGAGCTATTTCCATTTTGAAGGATTAAAGTGTCCCATGCGGCGCAACTGCCATAAATATCATTATTACTCACTCAATTGTACGTCGCGCGGATGATTGTTCAGAGGCTGCATGCAAATGCACAAAGGGACACTTAACGCGAAATGTTTTCCCTCGCACTTACGTTCTTACGGCAGGCCACATCTTTTTCGCCGCGACCCCAGCTGCGACCTCGTGATACCTGTAGACTCTCGATGCACGATGTGGAGGGGCATGGAGAGCCTAATGTAAGAAGAGTATAATCTAACAAATGTATTTCTCTTGATCTTGTTACAGTATCATATAAAATTGAGGCACGGAAGGCATCGCCGACAACACGGTGAAAGTTATCTGCCCAGCAGCTTTGTACAGGACACGGATGAGCCTGAGAGAGGCAATTGGGGACCATGGTCGACACCCAGTTCCTGTTCGCGTTCCTGCGGTGGCGGAGTTGCTCATCAAACCAGACAATGTCTCGACATAGAGTGAGTTACTATATTTTGCGAACTTTTACATTTATTGTCTATCTGCTACTACTCTGCAATTCGCATTAGAATGTCGCACGTACGTCCTGACATATAATATTGAGAATAATGTTAAAATGATATTTGTTGGAGATGAATTTGACATGTATGTACATACAAGAAAAACAAACATCTCAATAAATCTATCTCGTAAAATTATCGTCTAAATTGGAAATAAATACTAATAAATTTCATGTAAAAATGAGATATCGCAAACTGTTAATTTTTTATCATTCTTGACATTTCCTGGTGAGAAATTCTCCGCGTAATGAAGGAAATTTTAAGCAAGTATAAATTCTTTCACAACTCTAATATGTATGTAGTATAAGTATACTATAAAAAAAATTATTAACAATATATAATAATTGCTGTGCTCATTTCGTAATTGCGCTCACTTAAATTTATAAAGCGTATGACAAAATTTACAAGGCTACTTTAAACTGTGTTCTTCATTGAGAATTTATCCGAAAGAAGAATCCATTTCGTTTCGTTTAATTTTTCGCTATACTTATAATTTTCAATAAGCTCAATCGGATTGAGATTGGATTATAAACGGGTACAACTTGCAAAGAATTTGATCAAATCTCTACAACAGATGCTCGATATAACATTGTATAAGCAGCAAATTGTAGAAACCGTTTATATCAAAACATTAATAAATTTTTTTTGCATAATATATTTTATATAATTTACAGATTTTTTCAAATTGCTATAATAAATAAATAAAATAATGTGAGAAGATTTCTATTGAAAAAAAAAATAAAAAACAATATTTCTTTAATAAATATTAATATTATTTTAATACAATATTATTGATATACATTTCACTATATAGTATTTAAAAAGCCGATGTGTACACGCATTTTCTCTCTCTCTCTCCCTCCCTCCCTCTCTCTCTCTCTCTCTTTCTCTTTCTCTCTCCCTCTCTCTCTCCCTCTTCCTCTCCCTCTTTCACGTTAGAAAGTTCACGAATTTTATTTAAATAAAATGACAAATTGCGATAAAAATTAAATACAATGTACACGAAAACGTCAACTAAATTTTTTTTACAGTGCGTTGTATGTCAGCCGCGATTAAATTTGGGATAAATCAACAAAACTTTTCTCCTAGCACACACCAACGTAACAGATCCGCCGTAAATCCTTCTTATCTCTAAACTAAGGGAAGATTAATCGTAGGCACTTACACGCCTCCCGACGCGACGTCATGCTATCTCCGGGAAATTCTTACCATTTTCATCGCAAAAACGAAGTGCAATTAAAGTTGGTTTTAACGCGCTATGATTACGTAAAGTAGAAAATCGAGAAAGTGACTGATCAATGATCGACATTGTGCTAGTGCTAAATGAGACTCATCACTAATGATACAGTACAGAATTTTAGAAAGCTAGGTAATGTGAAAGCACGCGTAATGCATGCATTGCATCACGGTTCTCATATTGAATGTATCGTGTCACATAGGTCATCTAAATGTATCTACTACGATTTAATCATGAAAAAAACCCATTATTTTCACGATAATCGTGGTATGTGTTATCCGTTTCTAGAATCAATACTTTCGATCGATTAGAAATTGCGAATTAATTATAAATCAATGGAGAAAATGTTATTTTTATATCATTCTCATTTTCTTTTAATTGATGGACTTGCTGCAACAGTGAGGGTTAACCTACATTTTGTAAAAACGGAGAAAATAAACTCTAGAGTTTAAGTAATAGGAAGAATAAAATACATCCATTTCTACCAATATCACATATTTGGCTTCGTTTTGGATTAGCCCATTGTTGCAGTAAGTTTTTCAATTGTCAGTATTTTGTATATATACATATTAAAAATGATTTGATTTAAAAGTAGGCTTTCGTAAATTCATTACTCTTATGTGCCAAGAGTAAATTATAAAATTCCGAAATGTATACAATGTAGTCACATATACATATATAAACCTATTAATAAAACACTACATGTAATACTGCAGTAAATCGCAATTGTGTATAGAATCTCGTTCTGCTTTTATCGAGCAAAAAGAGATATCTATCTTAAGAAATTAAATTTTTTAATGTTGGGCTTCGTGCGAAATAAATAAACAGCGCCTTATCTGGCTACTTCGAAAATTTATTGAAGCTGTAATCTTTTGATTTTATTCTCAGGAAACTTCACACTTGCGTAGAATATTACAAGCCATTATTGATCATTTTCCATTTTCTTTTGTAAAAATTTTATAGTTATTTGTTTTTTAATTGGGAGAGGTAGAAAGATTGTTCATATTTTATTTTATTTTTTCATAAAACGAAACTTTTTGACTAAAACTTTTTAATTAAAGGGGTAATCTTCCATGTAATAGAGAATTTATTATCATAAGTCACTTTTTATCGATTGTGATAAGAATGGAAATTCAGAGCACATAATCAAAATTTAAATGTAGTTTACAAAATTTAGATGTAAAATACGTTAGAGAGTCGTTATAAATAGTAATTATGTTAAAGAATGTATCTTGCAATATTATTAAGTATACTGGTGTTGTCCCTTTTATTACGCATTACACGTGTATTTCATCCTTCGGATAGTTATTACAATTATTAAATAAACTTGATTGTTTAACCTTTATATATTAATAATGATATCGATTTATATACACAATGCTATAATTATGATCAGTGCGAATATAAACGAATAAATAAATATTATATGTATGTATATTTGAGCAGTATAACTGGACGAGCAATTCGATTAAATTTAATCAATCACTACAGAATTAGGTATTTACAATAAGAAGAATGTTCGTGTAACGATAATATTTATCATAAGGAAATATAAACATGAGAAAATACTTTAACTCCAAATTCTGTCATTCATTACTAACAAGTAATATATTTATTTTATAATGTTGCAGTGACAGTGGTCATGACAAGTGTACTGGTTCGTTCAGAAGGTTTTTTTCATGCAACATTCAAGTGAGTACGGAAAATAACAACTAATATATATTTTATTCATGATAAATTCACTCGCTGGATGTGAGTGAAGTGATGTTGCGTGACGTGACAATACCGATCTGAAATTGCAAAAAGATTCCATAGTGGAAATACTCTGAGCTATGTGAGTCGAATACAATCAGAGACTTGATGAATTGCCTTGTAACAACGAATGATTTATGCGATATGTTTTAATAGATCCACTAGCTGAACAATCTATCAAGAGGTCTTTGAGGCAAACGCATAACGCGCGTTTCAATTACTTTTATCTACAAATCAATGAATCGAAATTTATATGTATTTTTGCTTTTTTCTTTATTCACACGCACGATTCTTACAGTTCTTTGTCATTATGTCACACAACGTAATGTAATCATTAAAGTACGATGACGATTCATCGATACAGAAAATTACAATTAATGTAAATATCATTGTTAATCCCTCGGAGAATAATAACTCGATTCCTTCAATTCTATCACGTTTTTTCGGCGCGACATACACACTTCGCCTGCTTTTATCCTTTCAGATATGGATCAACAAATGATGCATCAATTTTTAGTCATACAATTTATATCGTTATTTAATTGGATCCTCTTAGCCAATTCTAATATTATTAATTTGTACACACACACACACGCACACGCACGCGCACGCGCACGCGCGCGCGCGTGCGCGCTAATTTGAGTTTAAACGTGGAATAAAAAAATGTGATTTCATAAACCCTGCAAATTTTAAAAAATTTACATAGTCACATGTTCTTGATGTTTTTTGTGGCTAATTATGATTAATTAATGATTAAAAAATATTATCAATTAGAATTGGATAGTGCTTCGCCTTTTTTTCATAAATTTTTATTATCAACTCATTGAAGTATTAAATAGGCAGAAAACGAGCAGAAAATAAAAAGAATTATTTTGAAAAATTTATTATTATAAAAATTACCTCTAATAATAGAGAAATATAATATGTTACTACTACGCAATTACGAGACCAAATTAAGAAAATATTACGTAAATCTTCTGAAATTGACATGACAAGATATTTATTACTTATATCTTATATCTAGACAGATTGTTATCGACGATGGGATTCAAACGTAATTGGAATTTTACATTTAAAATATTTTGAAATTTATTAAACGTAATATAAAATAATTGATACATATTAAGAATTTTGTAATTATTAAAAAGCTTCTTTCAAAATATATTTTATATAATTACTAGTACATAACAGGCGCGCGCTTCGCGCGCGCTGCGTATTAAATCCCATACGTCTTCCAATAACATTTATA